AAGATAGGAGCTTTATTAATTGAAATTGATTTCTATAGCCGTGTTTGATATTATTGAGTTGTTTTTGGCTAGGTTTTACCCATTCGGTGGTCGATTTGATGGGAAAGGGCTTGTTAAAGCATTGATTTGGCTTGTTTGAGGTAAGTATCTTGTCTAATCTTGTATGCGAGAATACCCCTTAGGATCCAGCCTTAATTGTTTATTCGTGATATGTGAAAAGCAACGTGTACATAAGGTGACGAGCATGTACACGGGTGCTATGAGTGGCTTATGACCGGATTAGACCGTAGGCTATTAATATGTCTTAATTTGATAATGTACTTTATATGAAACATGCTTAGATCACTTTGTGACTACATGATCATGATCACTACATTTGACTTAGCCATAGTCATGCTTTATTTGTTGAACACTCCTCCGCATTTTTATGCTATTGCCATGTCCTTATAAACTTGTTGTTAAGCTATGAGCTTATATCTTGATGAATTTTTGGTATTATTATTTTTTGATATTGTGGTATATGACGACATATTGTGCGGGTTGATTGTTGTTGTGTGGAGTATAAGAGTGCCATTTCACTGTTGATATTGTGCAGAATATAAGGTTGACATTTCACTAGTGATGTTGTGTAGACTATAAGGGTGGCATTTCACTGTTGATATTGTGTGGAGCATAAGGGTGACATTTCACTGTTATTGTTGTTTGTGGCATAATAAGGATGGCGATATGCGCATGTGACGAAATAAGAGAGACATTTCATTGTTATGTGCATGCGGTGAAGTAAGAATGGATTATTGATGATGTTATGTGATGATCGGGGGTGTCTTTCTTGATGTTTTTTTTATTGAAACGAGGTTGATTTTTTGATTTCATACATGTTTCTTAAAAGTTTCAGTCGTGTATTTTTTATGAGTTGTTAGTTGAATTTTACATGCTATTACATGCCCCACTTCTTTCGATGATTTGTTGACTCAGATGAATTTTCTCTTCATTGAGTTGTCATCACATGCTCTATGAGATGGTTGATATTGTTTTTCCTTATACATATTTTGTTGCCGGTTATTGAAATTTTGCACAAATTTTTGACTAGTGAGTATCACACGACTTGAGCCTCGTTACTACTTCACCGAGGTTAGTCTTGATACTTACTGGGTACCGACTGTGGTATACTGATACTACACTCCTACACATTTTTGTGCAGATCCAGGAGTTGGAGGCAGCGGATCTAGGCAGTGAGAGCTTTTGACCGTGAGAATTCAAGGTAGAGCTGCATTGACCGTCGCAGTCCCTTGGAGTCCTATCCTTATATTTATACTCTCATTTTATTGTCCGAACAATATTGTATTTTGAGATATTCTTATGTATTCGGTTAGAGCTCATGATTCTGTACTATGTAGTTCTGGGAGATGTTTTGATTATCGACACTTTGGCTTATATTTGCTCTATTTCCGCATTTATGTTAAACTTTATCATTTCATGTTTTATTGATTTAATTGTTGATAAGTGATCGGCTTATCTAGTTTTAGAGATTAGGTTCCCTCACGACCCCATGGTGAGATTTGGGTCATGACATATAGATGAAAAATGCCAAGTACCAACTATGAGAGAGAGGAGAGATAGAAGAAGAAATATGGGGAGAGAGAGGGAGACGATAAAGAGAGGTAGAGAGGGGGTTATCGGGAGAGATAGAAGAGGCATGCAATACCCAGTTCTTCCTCCTCCTTTGGTCGTCCTCTGCTATTCACATTCTTCCTCTTATTCATTCTTTTCTTCTCCAATAATGCCACAGTTCAAATTCTAAGAAATTGTGTCATGAAGTTCAGATGTTATAAGTTTTTGCTCATTTTTGCAACTTTCTATTTCTCAATGTAAAATTGGCCATTGTAGGTCCAATGGAGAAGGTGCAACATACGCGTGGACTTATTTGAACATGGGCGGAGCTAGAAGTCTGAGTACGTGTTCGGTCGAACTTAGTAACTTTGACTTAAATAGTATATTTGAGTTAAAAATTTCAACAAACATGTACAACTAACTTTTAGAACCGATTTATTAATACTTGAAGTCATTGTTCTAAAATTAAGAACCCATAAAACTAAAATTCTGACTCTGCTTCTGTATTTGAAGGCTCAGATAAGTCACGCCTTAGTTACACCATAGTGTGACTAAGTCATGCGACATGGTTTGGGGTGGCAAAGAAGCAAGACAATAGTTTGGAGCCATGAATTGCTAAGGCCATTTGGCTGGAAATTACACCACAACACGTCTATTGCGCGAAAGACCTCAAGTACTATAAAAAGTTGGTGTTGGGTAGAATGGTCGAAACCAATGAGAGGAAGCTAGGGCATGATTACTAGAAATATTATTTCAAGATCAATTCCATCCACCAAGGTAAGACCATTAATGAGCTTCTAGAGTACTTATGATCCATTAATGCTAGTCTAACAACAAAATATTATTGATTTTGTTTAGATTTTCATTTCACCCAAAAATCACCCGCCATAAAGATGTAATTTTCTTCTTGGGGATTCATTTATGCGATATAATGGAGTGCTGACAGATGCTTTATGTTGTGTTATTTGAATTGTAAGGGAGTTTTAGATGAACCCTAACCCTAGGATAATAATGAAGGTCATTGGGGGTATTAAGATAGTTTAAATGGTAGTTGAGAGAATTTGTTGATATTGTATGATTATGAATGATGTTAAAAGCCATAAATGGAATGGGTGAGTCAGTACCTCACCTGGGTTATGAAATGAATTTTGGGTGGCCTAAGACATTTCCCAAAAGATGTAAATTTTTTGCGTCATATATGTCGTGTTTAACATATGGTTGATGTGGATTGAATTGTCAAGACATATTGGGACTAGAGGTGGCAAAATGGTTAAAAGAAAAACAGTTATCCACCCATATTATTCATTAAAAAATGGTTGAATAATGAACTTTTTAAAAACGGGTCGAATATGAATAATAACCATATTATCCATTTAGAAAATGGTTATCAAATGGATAACTAATGTGTTTAACTTTTATATTTATAAAGCCTCAAATGGGGGTTCCTCAAGTTTGGGAGACTAGGAATTCTCCCAAAAGTAATCATATTCAAGAAGTCATGGATAATATGGATATCCATATTATCCGCCGGATAACCCGTTTTTTATCCGTCTCAAATGCGGGTCGGATAGAATAATTTATCCGTTTTTAAATGAACCGTTTTGACCCGCTCATATCCGCCCCGCCCCGCCCGTTTGCCACCCCCAATTGTGACAAATAACGCTATTTGCATGCCAATGTCGAGCTAAGCGGAGACCTAAAGTTCCTTGAGAATTTTTTCTCAAAATTCATGCTTTAAATGCTTTTAATGAAAGCGTGTTTAAATATGGACTCGTGCTCATAAGGGCGAGTGGATGCGTGTCTCACCATGTGTTAAGGAATAAATGCATAATCATACGTTAAGCTAAAATATGTTTTAAATAAAAATTATATTTGTTTATTTGTTGATGAAATATTGTACATAATTTCATACTCTATGAACGTATTTGATATGACCTTGCACATTGATAAATGATAAAAAAATACATGGCTTTAAATAAGTTTTCGTATTATTTTGTATGTGAATTGCGTGAGATCATATGCTTATAAATATGCAATATGCTCATTACGTGTTTATTGTGTGTATGAACGAGTTTTGATGAAAGTTGACGAAAATAGGATGATTTGATGCAAGAAGAAGTTGAGAAGCAAAAGCTGGGAGCGTGTCACAATTGGCGCCTCGCGCAAAAAGCAGGCACGCCAGGGCCTTGAACGTGAATCACAACTAGTGAATGGAACTTTGGCACCAATTCTCTGTGCAAGAAAAAAAGAAGAAGAACTGGGAGCATGCCAAGGGGTCTCGTATCACGCGAGCCCTAGGCATGCGACTTACTTTTCCTGTCCTAAATAGGAGAGCACAAGACCACAACATATCAATTCTATTCTGTATAAATACAACTTGGAGCCGTTTTTGAAGGGCCTCACAATATTTTTGAAGTCAAGAACAAGTAAGGAGAAAGACGAAAGATTCGAAAATGAGTTTTTATCTTTCTACTTCTTTTATCTATTACTAGTAATGAATTATATCTTTCCTTTCTCTTTGGCCTGTCGCTCCTGGTGCCCTAGACCTCGTCGTCGGTGCTCTTTTTTCTCCTCATTTCTCTGTGTGTGGGTGTGTGCTACGACCAGCCCGAACGAGCAAGATTTCGATGATTGCTATGATTTTTCGGAGACCCCTATAGTGTATTTTCAATAACCCCTATCGCTCGGTTGGTTCTCTTTCTCACCCTCCTTCTTCTCTCTCTCTCTCTCTCTCTCTCTCTCTCTCTCTCTCTCTCTCTCTCTCTCTCTGTGTGTGT